GATCTCAATTTCAGTGAAAATAATCGTGATTATCATTTTTGCCATAATCGAGCAGCCCTACCTCTAGACCGATGCTTCCCTAATAAGTATCAAATAAAGTAACTTACCAACTCCGTGCGCTCCGGCCTTGCAGCTGTAGTGAAGCAGCGTCATGTCGGTCAAACCATCGCGGTCGTTCACATGGCAACCACGCTTCAGGAGCTGAGACGGAGGAAAGACAGTTACAGGTAACCTGACCAGAGATTTCACACCAAAACTTTACAAACTGATATCTGCACGTGCAGGCTTCTGGAACTTTCCCTTTCTGTTTAGAGCCACTTGTACTCTGGGTTTGTAATCGTGTCAGAGCATGCTCTGGTTTTCACACAGCAGTTATTGATATCAGGCTTTCAGTTTTCTGGATTTTTAGGCGTCACTTTCCTGTCACACTAAACAAAAACGTTAAATAAAGCCAGGAGGGGCAGATAGCTGAGGATACATTTATGATATCTTATTTAACATCTGTATATCGCTCCTACATGTGATGTTATGGTTGTATAATAAACCCTAAGGTGGGAAAACCCTGAGTTCACATCCTGGCCGTGCTGGCCGCCAGCCTTCCAGCTCGTTGGCTGATTTCTTCTCCGCGATCGTCGCTGTGCCGCTCTCTCCTTGTTTTTCTTTCCTCCAGGCTGAGTCGGCTTCACGCTGAGTCACGGTGAAGCCTCACTGACTTTCCATCGCTCCCTCTCCCTCTGCACCACTTGCTCTGCCTCCTGTTTCCATGCAGCCATTTTAACTGGGTCATTATCACCATCTCTCTGTGTGCAGCGCTGCTGCCAGTGTGACCATTACAGAAGGTCTGTACAGATATGCCCCCTTCATAAACCTTTCCCCTCCCTAAGGGATGGATTTCTTTAAATAATTGTTTAGGTTACGATGAGCGGATGGGCCTGATGATGCACATGGATGCTGCTGCTTTAGGTTTGCTTTGGAGCATTTTCAGTGCAGTGATCTGACAAACAGCATGTCCAGCTGTGGGGCCCGCGCATCCAATCTTCTCTAGGATGTTATTTGCATGTTGCTTAGCAACAATTACATGGTATCTGTGCCTTGGTCACCATGGTTGCTAAAAACTTGGCACAGCGGCTTCTTCTCACCTTTGACTAAAAATAAAGTAAATAAAATAAACGGCAGCAACAACCTTTGAGACGCTGCTGGTGATGCAATCAAAGTGCACATACAGGTGTCTGATGCAGAGAGCACTTTATCACATGGAAGAGCCTCCATATTGTTATCTGGTATCCAGTCCAAATCAATCATCAAGAATAAATAATCCTCCCAGCCTGTATTTTTTAATTGCATGGACCATAATTTGTGCTTTGAACAGAAGCTTTCAGCATTCAGGCTTTAAGGGCCTGACAAGAGCTGCTCAGAGAGACATCACTGTGTGTGTGTGTGTGTGTGTGTGTGTGTGTGTGTGTGTGTGCAGAGGGTTGAATCTGGGTCAATGTGACAATGAATCAGTGTTGGCTTTAAGCCAGTGACACAGAGGACTGCAGCAGGCTGAAAGAGAAGCTGCAGCACTGCCGAGGTTTCAAAAACGGAGACATGAGCCCCAAAGTTTAAGCCTAATGGACAAGTTATTAAAAAATTAACTATGAATGTATGAATCAGGAAATTATGTGTAGAAAGCAGCAAGTTTTTATGCTCAGACTGTAAACGTGTTTATTTCTGCTGTAAAGTTTGAACAGGGGAGTCTGTGGGGACGGACTCACTGCTGGAGCCTCTAGTGGACGTTAGAGGAACTGCAGGTTTTCCAGTGTTGGGTTTTTTTTTGCTTTTATGTTCTCACCTCATTGCCGATGATGTCAATCTTGTGCTGCACCTGGGGAACCCACTGTCGCACGATGGCGAACAGCTCAGGGACCGTGGTTTGGGGATTCATGAGGATCTCCAAGCAGGCCGGGTCATTTGGGTCGAAGAAGGTGAACGCTGCACGCAAACAGGAAGAAATCACAGATGAGCTTAAAGAGACAAAGAAAGGTAAACGGAAAGCAGCGAGGAAAGCAGGCAGGAGATGGTTCCAGACGGTGACACCAAGAAGAATCTGTCCCCGTCATCAAATCAGAAATAACCTGCGAGTGCTGCAGTTTCTCTTCCTGCAGGCTCTGCAGCTCTGAGGAGGGTTTTATTTCACTGCCATCAGCCTGACAACCTGCCCCACTGCGACTCACTGTCAGCAGCTCCGGGAGAGCCATTCCACTTCCTGCTAATAACAATGAAGGAAATCAGCTGCATATTCATTTGAGGCACAGCAGGGGGCGCTCATGAGCTTGTCCTCAATAGCCCCTTTTCCATTAGTACCTACTCGACTCAGCACAATTCGCTACAGTTTTCAGGGTTTTGCATTAGGTCATACTACCTGCTCACTCGGGGTTCCTAGCGATCCGAGCAGGTACTAAAATGTGACATCGTCAGACTTCATCCCACCAACTGGCTGGTCAGTAGCGTCACTCGATTGGACGAAAATCCAAACCACCATTTTTGAAGCTTGACTACGAGGGAAACGGCTACAAACACGACGCCGTGATCCAGAGTGTGAGAAAAGCCACAGACTGAGCAGCAGGTATATCATCACCTCGACGTCCACTTTTGTTGTGGCAGTCATGTCATGACACGCAGATATGTTGCTATGACGACAAGCACGCACACTGGGTTGTAATGGAAAATCAGTGGATCCGAGTAGGTACTAATGGAGAAGGTCTTATGAAAGGGACAGAAATAAAATAGCACCGATGTCTAACTTTATCTATAAAATGCATTCTGCTAATGCAAGCTGATCGGTCACTTAAGGACGTCCTCCCTCAATGGCGCCCATTCCCAAAAGATAACCGGACGTTCGAAGTTAAAGAAGAAGAAGCAGCTGGTTGCGGTGGTTGAAGGTGATGCAGCTACACAGTCTCTGCTGCTGTTTGCTTCACGCCCCAAATCAAAATGGCAGCTGCCATTAAGCAGCTTGTGGTGCTGCAACATCAGTAATACTCAGATACAACAGAAACCTGTGAGAAACATCTAAAAATTAAAGTGAAGCTGTTGTGGCGACCAAACATTTACCTCACATTTATATTTTTGCTCTACAGATCCACAGAGCGCCCCCTAGGGAGCAGGAAGTGCACAGAGTAGGAGTTAATGCTGAAAGAGTAAAAGTCAGCTTGAGAGCGCCCTCTGCTGTGCTGCTCCGTGAACTGCAGTGATTTGCTTACTGAACAGTGATTGGCTGTCATCAATACAACAGGCCGATCAGTCAGACTGCGAGTGCTGACAGTGAGCTGTGACTCCAGCAGCCTCCACTTTAACAGCGTGACTGGCAGCATTTAAGGTGTTTGAATTTAAGGTGGTATGACGTACCGTAGTCTTTGGGCAGCGGTGCCTGGGCGGACGGGTGCACCATGGCTCGGCGCCGCGGCTCGTGAACCGGACTCTGGTACTCGGACACAGACACGGGCTCTGGCTCCGGTTCGGCCGGAGCCTCCTCCTCTTCCTCGCGCTCCTCTCTCTCCTCCCGCTCCTCCTCCTGCTGCTCTTCTTCCTCATCCTCCTCCACTTCTGTCCTCTCCTCCTGCTCCCTCTCTTCCTCTAGCTCATACTCCTCCTCTTCCTCTTCTTCCTCCTCCTCTACTTCTTCCTCCTCTTCTTCAGTCAGCGCCTCCTCCTCCTCTCTCTGGACCCTCCCCTCCTCCTGCTCCTCCCGGTCGTGCCTCTCCTTCTCCTGCACCTCCAGGTTCTCCTCTTTTGTCATGATGAGGGATTCTGCAGCAGGGCCTGTCAGAGAGGACGCAGTAACAGATTTTCATGAGATTTCTATTATTTTGTCCTTTAAACAACATTTTGCTCACATTTTGTTCAGGAATTCTCAGCGTTTGTGCTCCTCAAACACTAATGAGAATACAAGCAGAGGTTCAAACAGGAAGCTGGATGTTGGAGAGCACAAACTGTCAGTGAGTAGTAAATACTAATAACTAAGGACATCCCTGATTCAGGGAGCCTTACGTCCTCGGGCAGGACACCATCCAGTCTGACTGACCTTCATGAAGAACCAGGTTTCACAGCCTTTCTTGATGTTTTACTCCATCAGACTGCTGGGCCTTCACACTTTTTGACCGACTGTACAAGTCTGATCAGAGAAGACAGGTGTGTGCTAACAGCCACGGCTGGCGTGCCCTCACCCCGTCTTTGTAACTGACACCGAGTCTTTAAAAGGAGCTGCTTCCTTTGCTCTCCTGCGGACTGAGGTTCTGTTTCTGTCACATTGTCTGGTGTGACCTGAAAGACTTCTAGCTGCAATGATTACCCCTCTTGTTTGGTTTAATATTCGCATTTTGTGAAACAGAATCAACCACAAGAAGTCCAAAACTGCGAGACGGGTGAGACTGCTGCAGATAATAAGCATGATATGAACCAGAACACAGGACATCGCGATACAGACCTCGTCATAAGAAGCACGACATCATCGAAACCAGAGCCACAAAACACGGGACACAGATCAAAGCAGGAAATCCAAACTTCCCCCAGAAACAAATGAAACAGAAAACCTGAAAACAACTCGGAAAACTTTCAGCTGCTACGTCACATAGAAGCTCATTTTCTTTGCTCCAAAAAGACAGAAAATCTTTACAGTTCAGATGTTTGATTGAATCTAAGGTGAGGTTACTGTTTCAGACTAAATCTGCTCCGTGTGATGTTTCAAATGCACAAACACTCAAAATAAAGCTTTATTGGCAGCACATAAAGACAATGACCGTCTGCATCTTAACATCACACCTGAATCCAAACGGTTAGAATTCTATTACTGTGCTGTTACATGAAACTAACATTACTCAGATAAACCTGCTAATACTGGGCTCGAGCTTAGTTATTACTTGGTATTTACTCAGTAATTACATTTTGTAATTACATAATTATTCCACTAGCACCACATTATGCTTCTGAGCTGTGCTGTGACGCGCTTCAAACAGCTTTACTTTATGTTTCTGCTGCAGAATGACTTTAAATAAACAGATGCAATCAGTGACGCAGTTTGTTGCCAGTAACACAACATTTCAGCAGTTTGTCGTGCTGGACTCGGCCCGAACCACCGCACGGCTCCGCCACGAGGGCGTGGCCGGGATGCAGCTGAGACCGGCCGAGGTTTGTTTTCCTTCAGCGTCTTGTTGTCTCTGTTTCCATTCAGCATCACAACACGAGTGCTAAGCATAACTCCAGAGAGAGGGTGTGTGTGTGAGTGTGTGCGAGAGAGGAAAGAGCTGAAAGCAGGCTAATTGACCCACTGCACAGTGGCTTAGAAGGCTAACGCTAACCCTTGCTGCCCATCATTAGCTGTTGACTGGATTAAATCCACTTTAGCAAATGGACACGATGCTGAAATCCATCCGACTGCATCCATCACTGAGTCAGCATCATGCAGAGTGTGCTGGTTTAGGTTTAGGCTGCTTTCAGACGCTAAAGGCAGCGTTTTCTTTATTTCTTCACGTTATTTATCAAATGTCTGTGCGACGCAGCCGTGCAGTCTATGCACGCCATGGATCTCATGTATCTGCAGAATCTTCCAGAGCAGACCTGAACGTGTCACTTTGGGCTGTTTACACGTGAAAATGACCTGAAAAGCATGAGCGGGATAAACACTTCCCTCTGTGCACCATTTAGTGGGTTTGACTTCTCTGATTAAGCTCGTTATCAGTGCTTTATGTAATCTGAGATCCCAGTGGGACACGACAACAGGACTCAGCTGAGGCCACGATCGAGGTTACGCAACACGACCCTACAAGTCAGCGTGGACACACACACACACACACACACACACA